TTTTTTTGAGAATTGCCAAATTCGTTCCAAATGGTGGAGGGTATTCAAAGCTCGGCCCGGCCAAACTTACAGTTTTTTTTTTCTTTTTTCTTTGTGAGGTAAAATGTCTAATAAAAATCCGTTTTGACAAATTACAGCCAAGTTCATTAAATACTGGGGCAGAAATCTTTAAAATACAGAAAATCAGGGGTAGTTCGGGAGGGCTATATCAAAAAAAGGTTCCACATTCAAAATTTTTTGTTGCTGTATATTTAACTGCCCATTTAGAATCTGAAATATCGAATTACAGATGATTTGGTTGGAAAATTTGGACTGGAACCTTCAAAATGTTTGTGTTTTTACAAATCTGCTTCAATAATGCAAGCTACTATGTTATTTCAATAGGTGGACAGACAGATCTTTAAGCATGACATCAATCTACATCGAATCTGGGATCTACGACGAAAATTTTGAGGAGTTGGATTCTTCGAAACTAATCACTCACACCAAACTTCCTAGTTACATGGAGCACATGGAGAAATGTTGTGTGTGACCCGATTTGAATTAGCTGAGGTGGTCAAATTTCATCTTGATTGGATATATGTAGCTTCCAGAGACATATTCGCATGAAGAAGTTAATAAACAAAGTTCCCTAATAATAGCTCAATTCTTTTTGGACAATGTTAGTGAAATTTTCTTGGTTTTTACAGGTAATCTAATGCTTAATTAAAGGTAGAGCGAAAGTATTTACACTTTGCAGGGACATTTCGAAATGATTTGTCAAATTCAATTTAACACAGACTTCCAAAGAGTATCTAGTCTGCATAAGAAAATCCTTTAAGGTACACGTTTTCACCTTGTGAATCAGCTGTTGAGACGTTAGACGTTATTTTTGAGATTTTATCGATAACATTTTATTTAACGAAAAAAATCTTCTTTCCACCATAGAATAGGAAATTTTGAATGCCAAACCAAGGTGAAATGAAACCCAAATTTCGTCATACTCTCCAGAAGCTCGGATTTTCACACATAGGTATTTCTTAAAAAATTGAAGGTTTAGCCTAGTAGAACCATCACATAATAGAAACGTAGGAAGATTATCGTTAAATTTTTTCAACATCACTCCAAAGGAAAAACTTCCGACATATTTAGATGACAGCAGGATTGTCACTAAAAAAAGACAAAAAATCATCAGCAATGCCATAAATTATCAATTTCCGGAAGATAATCCAGTACACATACACTTGGCAACAAAAATGGAGAAGAATTCAACGAGCTAATGCCACCGTAGTGACCTTTATATCAAGGTAAATGAATAAACCATATGCGGTCATTGTTTAATTCCAGATGGATGCAAACGTATGCTTACATTGTAACAAAAAATGGGGGTAGTAGAAACACTATGGGCTGAAGTTACAGAAATCCTTTTTTTTCAGACAACAATACTTTTCAAATGATTTTACAATTAGTAACTTTAAAGTTTCCCTTTTGCTCCATGTAATGGTATCAACAGCCATCATAATCAACAACCACCAATGGCAATTTTTTCCTTCACTTTGCAATGTAACTTTGAAATTTACGTGGTTATGAAAAGAGGTATTAGAGACCGAACATCCACCAACATTAATGACAGGCAAACAGATCGACGGGCGGGCAGGCAGGCAGGCCGTCAGTTCGTCACCCAGCCAGTTGTCAAGTCGATCCGGCAGGCAGAAAAGCAATTCAAAATATAAAGATTCATATGTGTGTATGGAGGAGAACCGTAAAGTAAAACAACAACCAAAATCAACTAGCGAACTAGCAGCAGCAAATCAGCTAGCTAGTCAGCCAGCCAGCCAGGCAGTCAGTCAGTTAAGCACCACAAGGTATGCCTTGTTGTTGGTTGGTGAGAAGGCAAGGCAACGACGACAACAACAATGTTGGGGAAGAAGCAGAATTAAAAAGTAAAACACACTGCTGCACAGCACACAGTACTTATTGTATGAGCACTTATTTGATATTGTATGATGTTGACTTGTCGCCATTTTCGTGAATTTTTTTCAAAGTCTATATAATAATAACATTGAAAAAAATTAAAAACAACAATTTCAAGTGTATTTACAACAAGTCACCCAGATTACAAATAGATACAATCATTTCGTCAGCAAAAACAAACCATTCAATTATACATTTGCTTAATCTTAAAAAATAAAAATTTTAATTTTTTTATGTAATTAAATAATATGGTAATGTGTAAATGATAATGATGGACTACTTACATTTTCGGCCGATACATCGACGCTCATGGTTATAATTGATTTCTTTCTGTCTGTCGTTCAAATTAAATTATAGGTATATGTTACAATTCCAGAAATCGTTGGAATATTTTACAGATCCACTTTTCCCTTAGTAGAAGGCGATGGCGATTTTCTTTCTAAGTTCAAAAAATCTTCAATTGCAGTATATCAGCTTGAGCACACAACGAACGGACGAACGATGAAATGAAAATTTTCACAAGTCTTTTCTGTATAGATGATGTTGTCTGCCTGCCTTTGATTTCCACTTTTGTTTCGTTTTGCCAGCCAAGTCAACTTTACTCTCGTATCGCCACCAGACACACAAGTGAAACGACGAAAAAATGAAAAATTTTACAAGTCGAAATACAACGAGGCAATCAACCAGCCAGTCAGCCACAGCCACACAGCAAATAATAGAGCGACGAGAATATGTTATGTGGAACAATAAGAAAAAAATACAAGTGGTGGTGGTGTCTCTATAATAGCCAGCCAGCAGTCGAGTAATACAAAGAAAAATTCAACGAAATTTTTCTAAGTCCCAATTTTTTTACGACTTTGAAATTTTTTCTCTATTCTGCTTATCTGGCTGGAAGAACTTGTGTATTCCTCGGCAGATAGTATTTTTCACCACCACTTATTTTCTTATTTGGCACGACGTGGCGTGGAAAAAATTAATTTTTTCCTTATCTTATTTCTTTGTTGAAAAAATGAATTATATTTTAATTGTGAATTTTCCAAAAGAAATTTCTATCTTTCTCACTACGGTATCGAACAATCACGTTCGAACTTCACAAGCCACAGAAAAAGACAAAGTCGATGACTGGCACACAACGCTATTGGCAGGCCTCTATTCGTTTTTATGTGTATACTCACGATTACAGCCGAAAGTGAAAAAAACGCAAGTCCAAATATTGCGTTGCTTGACGTCTAGTAGATTTCCATATTGTTGTTGCTCCGTTTCGAAATGTTAAGTTCGTTTGATGCGTTCTGGTGCGTTGTTTTTAACGCAATTTTGGCACTTGGTTTTTGTTCGCGTTGCGGATGTCAGTTGTAATTGACAATACGTTTTGATCTACTTCCAACACAAGTGATTACGACATAACTTTGTTTTGCTATTTTTGTCAATTTTAAGCTAAAAAATAACAAATATTAAAATTTGTATTTTTGTAAAAATATTATAAATTGTTCTATTTTATAGAAACAGTCTATGTCGATAATGCAATGTGGAAATGCATTGTTTGCCGCATGTTTACCTTTCAAAGTAGGGATTTATAAGTCGATTTTTTAAATATCGGTTACTTGCGTTTTTGCAACTAAACCCAGTATGAATCATTGAAAGGGTGTTTTTTAAACGGTTATTTTTCTTATGGTCATGACCAAAGCAAGCGAGTTCATAATAAATATCAAATTTAATTTTGTACAGAACATATGTAAAAATAGTAAAATAGTATTTTCTTATTTTATGAGAATAAAAAATCATATGGCAGCGTAAATTCCAGTGTAGCATTTTTAATACATATCGATCGGATTCACAGCAAAATAAGAAAATAGAAGGCAAACTAAATAAAAGCTTTCCATGGAAGAATTAAGAAGATATCATTTTTGTGTTTTTATTGCTCTCTTCATGAACCTCCAAGCATGGTAGAAGAATACAGGTATTCGCTTCGACACAGCTGCTGGGACAATGAACTGTCAAACCGATTTTGGAATTGAAAATGTTGAATGAAAAATTATTAAAAATTGTAAATATTGTTGAGAAATGCATATTGTAACAACCTCCGATTTGCATCGTATAATAAAATATATAAAAATGTACTTATTTCTGACAAAACAATTTTAAAATTTTGAAAAAATTATGACATATCAATGTTTGCAAGCGTTGATGCATCTACCTATATGTAAAAATAGTACATTCTAAAGCTGCAAGTACATAAGAAGCTTGAAGTCATGGCTAGGCATATTTTGTGACATTTCACAAAGGGAGTACAGAGTAGCAATAAAATCCTACCGTCGTTGTCCATTATAACTTGACATTAATATGCCTAGCCTTGACTTCAAGCTTTTTATGTACTTGCAGCTTAAGTCAACCTAAAACTCCTTTGTTCATCTACGAAGAAGCCGATAAGTCAAAAATGCGCTTTATGTATTTTCTTTTAAAAAGACTATAAACATGCCATGGTACAATGATATGAAGGTAGGGCCATGGTACAATGATATAAAAGTAGGGCTTCGACAAAATCTAGAGTTTTTGTACCGAAATAATACTTTAGAGATATATAGTACATGATTTTGAAAAGAAGTGTTGACCTTTCATTCAGTTATCGCGGATTTCAATTATTTATTCAAAATAAATGCAACAAGTTGTTTAATTTTTATTGTTTTGATACTAATTCTGACATTACAAGCCAAACAGGTAGACCTCTATACTTGCAATTTTTTCAAAGTTGACCTACCTTCTCTTCATTGTACCATGGGTAGGGCTATGATACCATATGATTTTAATTTTTTTATTTTCTTGGCTTAATATGTCATCTTTATTTGTTTATGTATGTGTTTTCTTTTCAATAACAAAAAAATGTTCAGAAAACATTCAAATTCATTCAAACATTCAAATCCGAAGCATACAACTTGACAACCCTCCAGGTTGTACCAACGGTTGTATCGTGTGTGGCTTGCATTATAACAGAAATCGATTTTATGTGTCCCTAACTAACAATAAACAGAGCCACCATCGCCGATATATATTTGCACGGCTTTGTTGTATTGTTGCGAAATAGAAAAAAATATTTGTGCTAGTAAGGAGAAGAAAACAGTAAACATTCTATATTTCCTTGGATAAATTCAATAAATTCAACATATTCTCGTAAACATTAATCCAAGATACGCTAACAAATGCAAATGAAAAACAATAGTGCGAATAAACGAAATTATGTCACAAAAAGTAAAAGAAAAACTGCTACAGCCATTGTTTCAAAAGGAAAAGTGTCGTGAATTAGTTGTAAATTTTAAGAAATCAATAGAATTGTGGTTCTTGAGTGAGGCTGATGATACATTCAAAGAAATACAAAGTTCATGCTTTGATATAATACTATACGGTTTGGTGGATATAACGCATCAGAAAAAGGTAATAACTGCGAATTTTTTCTCTTCAATTACAAACGAAACCGAGAATATTCGATATTGTTGTACGTTATTGCATTGTCGTATATTTGGCTGTTAGTGAAAGTTTGTTTTCGTCAAATCGTCAGTCCTTTTTATGAGTGGATCGAGTGAATATTGTTTGTATTGTGGCATGAATGAATGGCGTCTCGTGTATGTCGTCATTATTGCAAGCTGGGCGTTTTGTTGTTGTGGATTCATTCGTTCGTTCGTTCAGGGGAGGTTGGTGGGGAGCACCAGAGTTGTGATGATGATGATTACGTAGTAAAGAATGCTTGGAATGCAGTCATCAGCCACTCAACAAACCAACCGACCAGTTCGTTGAACGACTTTTCACATTGAAGATATTTTTGTGTGGTATTCATGTTTGTTTACATGCCTTGAAGTGGCCCAAAGCATTGTTTTATCAAAATATGTGAAAATCACAACAACAAGCATAATACTATAAAATCTCAAGGTCGTACTAAATACAATAAAATTAGTCACAATGTCTATTTTTGCTATTCTTGGTATAGGTTTTTTTGGTCGATACATTTCTTCGTTTTGGGGAATTCCAATTCCTTAACTGCAATGCAAACAAGTTTGTTTTGTTGAAATTTATTTATCAGTTAATGCATGGTAAGTTAATGTTAAGTCAGTTTTGCTTGTTATCAACAACGTTTGACATTTATTTGCATATTAATAATTAAAAAATGTAATGGCCTTAGAATTAAAACGGGTCATTGTCTTCATAACGTTGTTTGGTGGTTATGGTGTCTGGTTGGTTGTTGGGTCAGGGTAATTAGCTGTAGGTACACGCAACAAATTGCAAATACTGGGTCAAGGCATCCCAAATAAGACACAATTTTTTTTGATGAAGGTTTGTCGATAACAATTTTTTTTATGAAGAATACATTTCGATAGTTATTTTTTTTATAAAAAATAATTGATAATAGGTTTTTATCAGCAAAAATGGTCGATAACAATTTATCTGTAAGGATACATTTTCGATAAAATCTGCCGACTACATTTTCTGCAAAGAAAGGACGATAAAATATATATAAAGTTGTCAATAACAACTATTCTATGAAGAAAAGTTGTCGATAATAGCTATTCTATACAGAAAATTTGTCGATAACAACTGTTCTACAAAGAAAAGTTGTCGATAACAACTATTTTATAAATAAAAGTTATCGATAATTATAAAAATAAAAGTTATCGATAACAACTATTCTATATAGAAAAGTTGTCGATAACAACTATTCTATGTAGAAAAGTTGTCGATAACAACTATTCTATATAGAAAAGTTGTCGATAACAACTATTCTATATAGAAAAGTTGTCGATAACAACTATTCTATATAGAAAAGTTGTCGATAACAACTATTCTATATAGAAAAGTTGTCGATAACAACTATTCTATATAGAAAAGTTGTCGATAACAACTATTCTATATAGAAAAGTTGTCGATAACAACTATTCTATATAGAAAAGTTGTCGATAACAACTATTCTATATAGAAAAGTTGTCGATAACAACTATTCTATATAGAAAAGTTGTCGATAACGACTAGTCTATATAGAAAAGTTGTCGATAACAACTATTCTATATAGAAAAGTTGTCGATAACAACTAGTCTATATAGAAAAGTTGTCGATAACAACTATTCTATATAGAAAAGTTGTCGATAACAACTATTCTATATAGAAAAGTTGTCGATAACAACTATTCTATATAGAAAAGTTGTCGATAACAACTACTCTATAAAGAAAATTTGTCGATAACTATTCTATAAGGGAAAGTTGTCGATAACAAATTTCCTATTAAGACAATTTGTCGATAACAACTTTTCGACAAACAGAAGTTGTCGATAACAACTATTCCTTAAAGAAAAGTCGTCGATAACAACTATACTATAAAGAATAGTTGTCGATAACAACTTTTCAATAAAGAAAAGTTGTCGATAACAACTTCTCGGTACAGAAAATTTGTCGATAATAACTTATTTTTAAGCAAACATTTTCGATAACATTATCTAAGAAAAAGGGTAACTTTTGTATAACGCAAATTGGTCGATACCATCTTATCTATAAGGAAATATTTTTGATAACAATTTTTATATAAGAACATTTTTCGATAACGATTTTTTTTTTGGATTATCAAGCGAGCTCTCCTATATTGTAGAGAGCAATGTTGGCGCTCCTCAAATACAAAATGCCAGGTTGTATTCCAAATTAAGGTAGATTCTTAATGAATGAACGTCCAATCCAATGACTTGCATTTCCAAAATAACGAATTTTATAATAAGAAAAAGAAGTTGTCAATGACATTTCAATAACGAAAGTTGTCGATAACAACTTTTAACTAAAAGTCGTCGAAAACAGCTTTTTAACAAAGTTTTGCATTTTTTATCGATGAAGGGAAAACTGGTTATTGTAGCACAAAGTTTTACATTTTTGCAGTTCTGGACCAGACTATTTCTTTTACATTATTGCAGTTCTGGAACCGAATATCTCTTATTAAATAATTTTGTCGTCAATTTACTCAGATATTGCTATTTTATTACAATAATAATACTTCTATTGCTATATATTTATGATTCCTTCCTTTAATATTAAATTAAAGAATACTTTTGATTAACACAAAATTTTCTTTTTTTTTGCATTTACAGCCACAACAAGACGACAACAATCAACACACGCTTGCAAGTGCAACTGGTAGTAGTAGTAGTGATTCATCATTGCCAACAACAATAGCAGCAACAACGGTGACTTGCGCCGACAGTTACCACGATGAGTCCGACTTGTATTCACCCAATAAAATAATCGACGACTTCGAATGGGTTCTCAATGCTGTAAACATACGCAATAGTGCAACAAAATGCTCTCAAACTGCTGGTGGTGGTGGCTTTGCCCTGAAAACGCGACCACCCACCCCACCGCCAGCCTCCTCCAGTGCATTGCAACGTCGTAGCTGGCCATTGAAACAATCATTGACAGCCCGGTTGACACAGTGGTTATGTCAGAATCTGCGAGACTCGGCAAATTTGTTTGTGTTTCTGCAATATTTAGTCTCCGATAAGGAACTTTTGGAGGAACACTATACCCCACATGCTCTGCTGAGACACGAAGAGTATGTCAATGCCATATTCATTGGCATGAGTGCATTTGAAACACATCAGTATGGTTTGCTGAAACAGATTGATACATTGCTCAAGGAGGAGGAGCAGAATGGCGTGGAGAATATGACGAAACATAAACGTTGCAATTCTCAACCGAATGTGATTGTACTGCCCGAGAAGAAATCACCACGTGCTATGAATCCATCACGTGATCGCATAGAAGAATCTGGTAATGGCCCTACTAAACACTCAACAGTATTGTTAACTATACGTAAAACAAAAAGTCTTCCGGATGTCAAAAGTAAATGCTCTACAGATGCCAAAGATGTTAGGGATGCTCCTGGCCACGGTCCCCGACCAAGGTGTAAAACCATAGCCGATATCAAACATAAACACAATAGAACGCCTGAAGGCAACATTCCCCAATTGTATGTTTGCGATGATAGCAAAATGACCCAGCCATCAAACTGTGATGATGACCCGAAGCCATCAACATCCCATAATTCTACCTCGAATCGTAGTCCAACATCAAGTTTACATTTAAATTCAACAGCTTCCACCACCTCCTCATCTTGCTCAGTTGCAACTTCAGTGTCATCGTCCTCTTCCAAATCGACCACAAGACATATACAACTCATCAACACGGATGATATAAAAATTTGGACTGACCACTCGTGGGAGCAGCAAAAGAACAAATCACAGGCACATACCCAGTCCAGCACCACACCAGCTCAAGCAATACCCTCGGTGCGACAGCGTGTTGCCGCAAACAAATCCTCTGCCTCCTCATCGTCCACCAAAAGCCTTAGCCCTTTGAATAGTTTTTTCTCCTCGCTGTTTAGTACCCCGCCTTCATACACATCCTGGTATACGGAACACAGTTTACATGAACAAAATCACCAAATACCTGAACAAGCAATTGATTCGATAAATTCCGATAGTCGGCATCACGGCCCTAGTGTAACTCCCACACCGCCAGTAACACTGCAATCGACACCCTCATCTTTGAGTTCAGCTGTTTTGGATAAATTCCTACCAATATATGGTAAGAAGTTGCGGAAACGTAATGCCCAAAACTTATTCGATGAAGTTAGTACAGCCTTGGATTACTCGACACCATTTACTCTGAACACCTCCAGTTCCTCGGGCATAAATACCAAAGAGGAAGGTGGGGCCACAACAAGTGGTTCGCCCACCACAACTGCTACGATGAAAAATTGCCAAAGTTTGACAAGATTTTTACAAATGTCGCAGTCATCGCGTAACAACACTGAATTGGAAAAGGAAAATGCTCATTTTCGTATTTCAGAGGCTATTATATCGGCTATAGAACACATAAAATGGAACAAGCAGGTACCCAATGAAACATTGGAAAATTTAAGTCGGGAAGGTAAGTTTCCTTGTAGACTTTCCAAATCAAAAAGTGAAAAATCACACTTCTCTCCCTATTTTAGCCACACCGTTGGCAACAGATTATCTATCCTCATCGGAGCACAACAACATGACAGCTACACCCTCAAAGGTAAAGGTACCCTGTAGCAGCGGCCACGAATATGTCGAAGGAGAACATGTCCCCTATGCCGAAGATGTATCATCGGTCGATTTACTGACAGCAGAGGTTGTGGGACTTTCTCTCATCTCGAAATTTGATGAGAAACATTTGCCCAAGGTGTCGGAACTGAAATGGCTCGTTTCCGACGAGGACACACCACAAAATCTCTTACCAATGCCTGATCTATCCGGCAATAATCCCGATGAACATGTGATACATTCGGTTACACGCGGCACAAAATATTGGGCGCCACCCAGACAGCAAATCATCTTTACCGATCATCCAAGCATGGAGTAAGTGAAGTGACATTTATGAATGAATATATGAAAACCCCCTGATTTTGTAAATATAGATGGGGTGGTAAGAAAGAGAGAAAAGACCTCCTCGTTTATTGATAGCAAATTTTCTATCCTAAAAAGTTGCCGACTTCTTTATAGGGACACTTTTTATGAACGTATCTTCTTTCTTGTAAAAATACTTGTTATCGGCAACTTGTTAGCATAGAAAATTTGCTATCGATGACCGATATTCAAAATCTTCTCCATCTGTGTTTGCAAAATCATAACAATTTTTTTTTTTTTTTTGAGAATACAGGGTGTGCTAAAAAAAACTGCAACAAAGTCAATCGCCATAATTTTTAAATTTTTTTAAATTTTATTAAATGAAAGCAAAAAATGTCGGAAATAGCATCAAATTTTAGAATAACTTTAGATTTGTTCGAATTGGTCACCTTTGGTACGAATTATGGCCTTTAAACGGCCAATGAGACCGTCACACGCTGCCCCAATGTTGATCTGCGGTATTTTGGCCCATTCCCGGCGAAGCGCTTGCTTGAGGTGATGGACACTTTGGTATTTTTTAGTGCCCACCTTGTTCTCCAAAATACTCCAGACACAATAGTCCAACGGATTGGTATCCGGATATTATTGTGGCCATTGTGCGCTGGAAATGAAGCGAGGAACCTCATTTTGTAGCCATTCTTGGATGGCGCGTGCTGAGTCCTGTTGGAATGTCCAAGGTCTACGGCCAGAATGTTTGCGTGCCCAAGGCTTTAATACACCCTCCAGAATATTTTCGCGATAATACTCGGCATTTATTCTGATGCCACGATGATACGAGTGAAGAGCGACCATCGGCTGTTATGGCGGCCCGCACCATCACCGTGCCCAGCGATTGAGTTCTGGTGGCCAACCGAAGGTGCACATTTTCAGCTGACCTCTTTGGCAAGTAAACACGATCATTTTGTTTGTTTACAAACTGCTGGACAACGAATAAGCCATTTTTCGACCACTGCGACGCGGGTTTCGATGAGGTCGCTTCTTTACTTTTCGAACCACTTCTGCTTATTTTGATGTTTTCTTCCGTCCACTTTCTTGACGTCGGGCTACGCTACCAGTATCACGGTAACGAGCAATGGTACGAGACAGAAAAAAAATTATTCACATTTAAACGCTGGAGTGCTCTAACGATATCCACTTTTGGTTTTCAAGCCAAATATAAAGAAATCACACTATTACCCTGGAATTCAATCACGAATAACTTTTTTTCTGGAAAATTCTCACCAAAATGCTTTTGTACGCTTGTAAACAATATAATGAGCTGTTACTGGAATAATTTTAAGAGCTGTCGGACGACTGGCTTAGAAATGACAGCAGTCTGAAATTGATTGCAGTTTTCTTATCTCACACTGTATATAAAGAAAATTACCGATAACAACTCTTTTCTAAAAAAGATTGTCGATAATAACGTTCCTATAAAAAAAAGTCGACTACTTTTCTGTAACGAAAAGAAGGCGATAACAAATCTTCATAAAAAGGCTGCCGTTAATAAATTTTCTATAAAAAATACACCAATAAAATTTTTTATTATAAAATCTTTTATATTCTCTTATATTCTATAAAAAAAGTTCCCGATAATAACTCTTCTCTAAAGAAAGGTTGTCGATAATAAATTTTCTGTCGATAATAACGTTTCTATAAAAAAATGTCGACTACTTTCTGTAACGAAAAGAAGACGATAACAAATTTTGCCTAAAGTTGTTGAAATTAATTTTCCTATAATAAAAAGTCTGAAGATTATAAATTTTCTATAAAAAATACATCCATACAACTTTTTTTATTATAAAATTTCTATAAAGAACCGCTGTTGAATGCAACGTTTAATAGAGATAAGTTGCCGATAACTAGTTTATTTGTGAAATAATGCTGATATAACTCTTCTATAAAGAAAAGTTGTCGATAACAAGTTTTTTATTAGAAAGTATTTTCTGTTAAGAAATGTCTTCGATAACAACATTCCTACAAAAAAAAAACATTGTCAATAACAACTTTTCATCAGAGTACATTTATCAATAACAGGTTAAAGAAAAAATGCTGCTGCTTCCGAGATAGCGGTTCTTATGCAACATTTTTAACATTAACTCCCGTTCCTTACATTTTAGACGCAAAGAATTGTTAAAGAAACAGAACTACCGCTGTGCTGGCTGTGGAATGCGTGTATCACCTCAATATGTCCAGAGTTTTCGCTATTGTACATATTTGGGAAAGTATCATTGTACCGGTTGTCATCGAAATCAGATTTCAGCAACACCGGCAAAGATATTGCAAAGGTAACTTGTAATAGTTTGAACATTTTTTTTCTTTTTGCTAACAAATTTTTATTCCTATCTCCTTTCTAGCTGGGATTTCAAATGTTATCCTGTCAGTGTATTTGCATATCGTTTGCTAGAGCAGATGTATGCGTATCCCTTGTTCTATGTACCCGACTTGAATCCTGCCTTATATTTTCGTAGTAAATCGCTGTTGAGTGCCCGCAATAGACGTTTACAATTGAAATATGTCAAAGACTTTATACGCACGTGTCGTTTTGCCTTGCGTGAACAGAACTATTTTGAGACGATACCCGATTACATCACATCGGACATTGATAATTGGTCCATGTCGGATTTTATAGATGCTCGCAGCAATTGCCTGCAGAGATCCATTGATGAACTGATAACCAAATGTGAAAATCATATTTTTAATTGTGTTGTAAGTGGCATTAATTTGCAGACAATTCAAATTTGAGATAATAATTCAATCATGTACTTACTTTTACTTTTTCAGCTTTGTACCGCCCGGGGTTTTCTCTGTGAATATTGTAATGCCGACAGCGTTATATATCCCTGGGACAGTCGTGTTGTACGTTGTGATCGTTGTGGTACATGTTTTCATCGAAATTGTTGGAAATCAATGGCACTTTGTTGTCGCTGTCAGCGTATTGACAAGCGCCAAGAAGAATACGAGAGTGTTCACAATGTTTAAGCCGCCGGACTATAATCAGCTCATAACATATATAAATACGAGGAAAAAACATTTATTATTTTCTAAGTTTTTGTAGAATTTATTAGATATTCTTAAAAAACTATTTTTATGTATATTGTCGACCCTAATTGAGACTTACTTCTTCAGCCCCTTGGAACAAAATCTAAAATTAAATTTAGTTTAAGGTTATAGATAAATTGTATATTTGTTACTTTTAGTCTTTACATATGAAACCTATCTCCAATGTTCTGTTAAAAAAATTATTTATTTTATAAATCTAAAACAGGAAACTCACACACACACATATATATATACCACAACAAATGTTCGAAAAGAATTAAAAAAAAAACTTTATACAATTCCTTTAAAATCCTAAGAGAATCTAAATCATCTGTTCAACAACAATTCTATGAGAATTTGGTGAAATAAACAAAGAAAAAGAAAAATTTATGAAGCAGATCGCAAATTTCGTTGTTTTAAAATTATAAATAAAGAATGCAACGTTGGGACGGGGTGGTTGGTACCTTCTTCAAGGTAACAATACGAACCCCTATTTTGGATAAAGGAATGATGAAATTTTTTGTCACTGCCAAAATCTCTTTGGCCCAAGTTTACTATTGCTGTGTTCTTCAACATGCAAGAATCTACTAGTTTTGTATTTTTTTTTTCGATTTCATAAGAGAAAAATCGGTTATCGCAGTAAAAAGTTTTAAATTCTTGCAGAACAGAACATATATTTAATTGGACTTGTATTGGAGTACCTAATATGTGGTAATTATATCGATGTTTGGAAATGAAATGCTAAAATACATTTGCTCTGTTCCGGAACCTGTAAAAATATTATTACAATGTTTTTACCGGTGTTTCCTTTACGATTAAAAAAAAAATGTCAGATTAGATTTTTGCAGGTTTTAGATCAGATCAATGGTCGTGTCTCCATTCTGTCCAAATTTAGGTTCATGTATTTTTGTTTATATTTGTTTTTTCATGATTTGTTCGAAATAAAGCATGGTAGAAGAATATAGGTAGATGCATCAACGCTTGGGAACATTGATGTCACAATTTTTAAAATGTTTTATCAAAAACAAGTATATTTTTTTAAATGTTTTCTTATACGACGCAAATCGTTGGGATATGAATTTTTCAGCAATTTTTACGAATTTGAATAATTTTTCAATCAAAATTGATTTGATTGTCTCAGCAGCTGCGTCTATGCGACTACCTGCATTCTTCTACCATGATTAATAAAGCAAGGATTTGATTATGATGACACTCGACGATCTGGCAGTTAAATACAACTCTGATTAAGATAGCTTGTCTCATGGTAGAAGAATATAGATAGACGCATCGACACAGCTGCTAGGACGGTGAACTGTCAAACCAAATTTGGAATTGAAAATGTTGAATGAAAAATTATTTAAATTTGTAAAAATTGTAGAAAAACGAGTATTATAATATCCTCAGAATGACGTCGTATAAGAAAACATATAAAAATCTACTTATATTTGAAAAGAAATTAAAAAATTTTGACAGATCAATGCTCCCAAGCGTTGATGCATCTACCTGCATTTTTCTACCATGGCTTGTCTTGTGCATTTCTCTCCATCTCATTTACGCTCGCATGTATACATATTTTCTCAATATTTGTTATAAATTATTTATGAATATTCCTAATAAACTCAAATACTATTGGAAATTCCGAATTCTTTACTTTTTCTAATTAAAAAGAAACAGCATTTGTTTTGGCGCCAAAAACAAATTGAACTACCGCTTCATCACTTCAATTGCCAAGTTAACAGCTATGTTATCTATCATGTTAAACTATAGAAAAATCGATTTTATCATTATCGTACCTTATACCTCTCTCTCGTTCGTTTCGTCTATCTTCTTTCTCTTCTCATTCGTAAACTCGGTCCATTTGCTTTCTTTTTATATTTTATCGGCCGTTCTCTTGTGCCTTTGTAATGTATATCATTTGGAACGTTTTTAAATTTGGTAGTACCACTGCCATGTGTTGTTTTGGTCAGTGACTTGGTGGATTGAATGGTTTGGAGAACTTTGTGGGCTCGTTTGACAAAAATGACAGCGGGAAAACTGGATTATAGTAATAAAATTATATTAGCACCCATGGTAAGGGTGGGGACATTACCCACACGTCTTTTGGCCTTGGAAATGGGAGCTGATATAGTTTACACAGAGGAATTGATTGACTTGAAATTAATAAAATGTGTGAGAAGTGTTAATGGTAGGTTGGTTGTGGCACATTGTTCGTTTGCAGAATAATTTTGTATGTTTTGCTTTTTGTTTTCAGAGGCATTGGGTACAATAGATTATGTTGATCCCTCAGATGGCACAGTCAGTTTTCGTACCTGTGAGTTGGAAAAATCACGACTGGTATTACAAATGGGTACCAGCGATGCCGAACGGGCATTGGCTGTGGGCAAGAAAATACAATATGATATCTCTGGCTTAGACATAAATATGGGCTGTCCCAAGGAGTTTTCCATTAAGGGTGGCATGGGAGTGGCTTTGTTGGCCCAGCCCGAAAAGGCCTGTCACATTCTAAAGACTTTAGTTGATAATTTGGATATTCCGGTGACGTGTAAAATAAGAATATTACCAAATCTTGAGGATACCATAGAATTGGTAAAGAAATTGGCCGGCACTGGTATATCAGCCATTGGTATACATGCCCGCACCCGTGACGAAAGACCACAACATAGTCCACATCCGGATGTGATACGTGAAATAGTGAAACACCTCGATATACCGGTTATCTGTAATGGTGGATCACGAGATATTGAAAAATATACAGATATTTTGAAATTTCGTGATCTATGTGGCGCATCGAGCATTATGGTGGCACGAGCGGCACAAATGAATGTTTCGATATTTAGGAAAGAGGGTAAGAGTGTGGAAATTTTTTAAAAAGTTGTTTATTTTTTAATTGGGCATGTTCTGTTTTAGGTTTATTAGAAATGGATGACTTGATTTGCAGATATTTGAAGTTAAGCGTCGACTATGATAATCCACCGCACAACACCAAATATGGTATACAAAGCATCATGCGTGAACAACAGGAGACGCCAAGGGGGAAATTGTTTTTAAAGTCGCAGACAATGCAACAAATGTGGTAGGTGTTAAGGTCTCGCATAAGTGAGACCTTTAAAAATAACTGTTGAGTTCCGAACTTTAAAAGTGGAGCAACCTCAGGACATTCTACCGCCTGACTTTCAGCAGAAAATCTCGACTTTTTAAATTATGAACTGTTCTGCGCCTAGTCAATTACGAGTACTAATTCATCCTCTTTTCTTTCATACAATTCCAGTGATATTTGGAATATGGGCGATTACTGCCGCCAAAAGGAATTAGAATTACATACCAAAGGTACATTTGGTAGAAGAAAAGTAATACCCGGTCAAGTACCTGACTCCGAAATACTAGAGACAGTGGCGAAAAAAGCCAAACTAGAAAATGACAATGAAAATGATGAGTTAGACAAAGATATAATTGAAGAGAATATTGCCTTCCTGAGATGTAACTATGATATAAGTAAGTAGCTATATTTCAATTTTAACAAAACCCCATTAACAACGACCTATCACTATTTTGCAGAGAACGATCAATTTCCCAAAACTGTACTCTATGTACATGCCAATAAAAATGAGCTACTGCAACCAGTTTACGATACCGAAGGCAAAGATAAACTATTTCGTTCCATTTGTAAATTTGATGGCAAACGTTATCGTTCCACATTTTGGTCGAAGAATAAAAAACAAGCTGAACAAGCTGCAGCCTTGGTGTGTTTAAAGAATATTGGCTTGGTAACGGAAGAGGAACTCATCAAAAATGGCAGTATTTTAAGATGATATATGACGAATGGAACCTGCTATTGTTAAATAAATTTAGAACAATAATTATACGTTTAGAGGCCATGAGACAGACAGTGTGTTTTGGAGTTTTCATTGTGGAAGGGTGCAAAGGAGTTCATAACAAAAACTAAGCAGCAGTATTTTTTGAACATTAGAGTGATTTAAACGTAGAATTACTAGAGATTTTGTAAGAATATTTTTCCAAAGAACACCAAATTCTTTTGAGAAACGCAAGAGCTTTAAATGTGAAAGTTTTGAAAAAAATCTGGTATTAGATCCTTGGATTTTCGGAGAACATGTGAGTCTTTAAGTTTGGACTTTTAGCTACTTTTTAAAAATATACCAATTCTCTGAATTCTGTAAAAATATTTATTCAATAGCAGATCTTTCAGTTTAATGGGTTTTTAAGGTGGCATAGATTTAAATTGGGAATTTTTCAAAGATATTTTTTTGTGAATACCAGAGCCTTAGATTTTCAAGAAACATCCTAGCCTTAAGCGTGGAAGTTTAAGGAATATTCTTCTATCTGAATTGGTCCAATTACAAATGTTTGGGAAGAATATTTAAAGAACGTAGAATTTTAAGAACATTTTCCCATGCACTCCCAGTATCTCAAATTGGGAATTTTAGAGTAAAATTTCAATGAATTCCAGAGCTACAAACAAGGACTTATGTAAGTACTATTTTCAAAAAGTACGAAAGCCAAAATTTCAAGGATTTCCAGAGCTATAAACAACGAATTTTCTAAGGATTATTCTCTAAGAATTTTCACAAGTTTTTATGGAATACCATAGTCTTCTCTGAAGAATATATTATAAGGAACCTTGAATGCTTTTCTTTATTAATCAATGTAAGGGCTTTCTTTTTTTTTTGATAAAATATAAATTGGTGGCCCAGAAATTAAATTTCCGGAACTGAGGGAGTGATTTTGTTTCCCGTTTTTTGTTCTCAATAGCAAAGAGATAGTTTAAAAACTTGAAACTTCGTTTTCCAATTTAAAGCTTTTGTCTTAACCCGTTTGCCCGGGTTAAGGACCCATTCCTGTGTTTTGAATAATGACGTGGGACTAAATACTACATCAATTATACAGGGTGAGATGAAAAAAATGCAAAAAAGTGTTTCATAATTTTTACATTTTTTTTTTAATGAAAGCAAAAAATGTCGGAAATAGCATCAAATTTTAGAATAAGTTTAGATTTGTTCGAATTGGTTACCTTTGGCACGAATTTTGGACTTCAAACGGCTAATGAAACCGTCGCACGCTGCCCAAATGTTGCTCTGCGGTATTTTGGCCCATTCCCGGCGAAGCGCTTGCTTGGGGTGATCGACACTTTGGTATTTTTTAGTGTCTACCTCGCTTTCCAAAATACTCCAAACACAATAGTCCAACGGATTGGTATCCGGAGATTTTGGTGACCATTGTGCGCTGGAAATGAAGCGAGAAACCACATTTTGTAACCATTATTGGGTGGCGCGTGCTGAGTCCTGTTGGAATGCCCAAGGTCTGCGGCTAACATTTTTGGCGTGCCCAAGGCTTTAATACACCCTTCAGTATATTTTCGCCATAATATTCGACATTTATTCTGATGCCACGGTCGATTAACACGAGCGAAGAGCGAACTTCGGCTGTTATGGCGGGCCACACCATCACCATGGCCGGCGCTTGAGTTGTGGTGGCCAACCGAAGGTGCACATTTTCAGCTGACCTCTTTGGCAAATAAACACGATTATATTGTCTGTTTACAAACTGCTGGACAACGAATGTTTTCACATCGGACACGGAGAAAACCAAATTCGTCAGTTCACCACTTTCGGCCAAGCGAAGCAACTCTTTAGCTCTTTTGAGTCTATTTTCTTTCTGTTGCGGTGTAAGTTATTGCACTTTTTGGAGTTTCAATGACTTACCCCGAGCTCATTTTTCAATATTTGCCGAATGGAATATTGCGATATGTTCAGCTCACGAGCCATTTCAGCTCGTCGGCCACTGCGACGCGGGTTTCGATCAAGTCGCTTCTTTAATTTTCGAACCATTTCTGCTGATGTTGCTGTTTTCTTCCGACCACTTCCTTGACGTCGGGCTACGCTACCAGTATCATGGTAACGAGCGATGGTACGAGACATAAAAGTTTTATTTACATTTTTATTTACATTTTCTAGCGATCTAATCAAATATTAAGAAATCACACTATCACGCTTGAATTCCACCACGAATAACATTCTTTCTGAAAAATACTCAACAAAAAGCTTTTGTAAGCTTGTAAACAATATAATAAGCTGTCACTGGAATAATTTTAACAGCTATCGGACGAGTGACTTAGAAATGACAGCAGTCTGAAGTTGGTTGTAGTTTTTTCATCTCACCCTGCATATTTACCAAATTTTAATAAGATTTCAACTCACCCATAACTGTTGTTCTTGCAAAACGCCAAAAAATCCAATTCAAATTTAATTTCATTTTAACAAAAACCAACAAATACGATTGATGATTTGGTATTCTTAATGGTTCCATACATTACATTGTCTTGATTTGTTGTTGTTGTATTTATTTTGTTTTGTTAAGGATAGTTAACTTTGTCACTATCAATGTTGATTAAGTTGAAAATTTCAATTAAAACTAATTTCTTCTTTTTTTTGTGTTAAAAAATCGACATTTTCTGTCTTTTTTGTTTGTGTGGACATGAGTGTGTTTTTGAGGATTTTTTTTTGTTTTGGCAATATTTCCTTTTCGAGATATTTGGAAATATCACAAAAATTCTTAAAACTATTAATTAGGAGGTGGCCGAACTTGTTGTGGCTGTTGATAGTGTTGACGCTGCTGCTGCTGTTGTTGTTGATGTTGCCTCTGATGATGATGCTGTTGATTGTTATGATGATGGTGTTGATTATTGCTACGTGGCGGTGGCATCATGTCATTATCATTCCTATAGCCATTGTGGTGAATGAAATGTAGTAGAATATCTTTTGTTACAGGATTACGTATGCTCTCGATGACAGCTAAAAAGAGTTACATTATTAATTAAGGTTCAACGTCTTTGAGGGTCTTTTTGTCGGATTTACACTTACACATGGCAGTATTATAACTGTTGGGCATTGTTTTATCCGTACGTTCTCGCATCAACTCCCATTGGCCTTGACCATTAATGGTACATTCAACAATTTTATTATCTAAATTCATTGCTTTAATTGATTTTGTGTGGGCCATTTGGGCAAATGGTGGATCATGACCACCAACGAAAAGATAACATACTTTGCGGGGAAGAATTCTGTGGATGAAATTCAATTATATTAACAGCTAAATTAAGATAAAAAATACGTCATACCCTGGTCCAGATTCTGTGTGCACTTTTAAACGAAAATCAACTGAATTCATATCCAACGGTTTCCATTTGAAAACATCTGGACAAACCCCAGCTGTATATGGCTGTTCAGATGGTTGAAATATTAGACCATCGGGTTCGTGACACAAACTTTTGGCAAACTTTTCTCCCAGCAGTGAGGCCGATTGCCTTATGTCCCAAAAATCTTTCTTACGCAAACTAAATGGTTCCGATGGACGATTTATAATTCCTTTTTCTATGGCCTTATGACGTGGCATAATGATCTCCATGTCAATGCATTGCAATCGATTGGGATAGAAATTCTCCTTGCCAATATCACGATTACCAATTTTAATAATGTCATAGATGAGGTAACGCGGTGTAATCTGCCCATTGTATTTATCCAAAACCATTTCCTGTAATTTAGAAAATCAAAAATATTAATACTTGGAAATGGAAAATGTGTTATTCGTTACATACCCCGTCCAATAGCGTATCCTCTAGATGTTCATTCAAGTTATTGTATTTTAAAAAGGTCAAATTCTCCACTTCGAACACGGAGTTGTTGCGATCGATAAAGAAGATTTCATCGCGTTTATTGATTAACATCATATATCTGGAAAAGAAAGAATAATAAATATTTTTACTGGAAATCTCAAACAGATTTAAGAATTCTTCTCAGGGTAAGCTTCAATACAAGTGCAGGCCTTTTACCTCTAGAAGGAACCTTAATACATATTTAACTAGCTCACCTTGTACCATCCGCCTTCCATGAGACACGATATGGTATCTCCTGTAAACGCTTCATATTTTGACGATCCATTGAAACCGGCTGACAACCCGGAAATCCACTTTTCTTCCAACCACACATGTCTTGAACTTTTTGCTGTAAATCACCCAAACGGGGTTGATCACTGACCCAGGTAACACCCGGTACACCATCCATAAATTTGGCATTTTTAATCATAAGTTCATGACGTTTTTTCTTTCTTGGTTTGCCATTGGCTGAGGTACCACCTCCTTCGCCGCCGTTGTCATTTCCATCACCATCTGCTTCATTGGCATCATCGCCATCCGCTTGATCGTCACCATCCTCGGCTTCGTTATCACCACCATCATCTAAGGAATCTATTAGACCTAAGCTACCATTGGAATGTGCAGAACGTGCTGCCTTGGCCATCTGTGAGTTTGAGGAGTGTGCTGTTTCTTCGTATTTACGTTTATTGCCACGATCCGAATCATCATACTCCAAACACCAGCCAGGCAATTCAGGTGCTGGCGGTGCATCTTCTTCGTCATCATAACGTCTGTACAACTCATTTATATAATCCTGTTTATATATACCCGGTGGTCGTATTTTACTAAACATAGCCAAGGCTGCCTCCACAGAGAAGTCCAAACGTTCCACCAAATAGGATGCAATTAGGAAACCGGTTCGATTAAAACCATGGGTACAATGTACACCAATCAGATCAAATGGACGATCGTTAATAAAGTTATCCACAATCTCGATGAAGGATTGTGTTTGTTCGGGTGATGGTGTCTCACCATGGCCGCGACATTGCAACTTAACATATTGTGTGCCCTTGGCCTCGACCACACCACGGTCATAAAACCGTTTGGTATTTGTCAAATCAATCCACAGACCCAAGTTCAGTTTCAATGTTTTACAATAGCCGAAAATCATTTCCGGATGAAACAAACACTCCATGGGCATCTGTTCATCGAATGCTGCACTCAATGGCGTTTTAAAAGCTATGAATTTCTCCGCAATAATGCCTTCACTTTTACGTGGACAGTACAACCATCGATTGGGTATGGGTCCAGGTCCACGGTTACCATTCGACATCGTTCCTTTTGGTCTTTTCGTAGCGTGCTTTCCAAGCAAAGAGAATATGTGACCACAATTACCACTACTTCACTTTCTATTGTTGCGTTTGGTTGGATTGATGTGTGCAAACAGCTGCCACTTCAGCTGATTTACATATAGCTCTGTGTATCGCTTTTATTTATAGCGTTATTTTTAACAATTTAACTATTATATTTTAGACATTATTCCGCTATTGGATATTGGATTTGTTGTACTTGCTTATTTTTGTGTGAAAAAGTGTATCTCACTGCCTTATCCTTTTTTTCACAGAGTCACAACATTTCAGGAGAAAATTGTTTTGTGCTGTCAATTAAACCAATTGAACGTCAACGTGGCAGTGTGGCCAATGTGCGATTGTAGAAAAAATCGCTTGCTTTGTTTTTTTTTTTTTACTTTACACGTGCAAAAAGCCATACAACAAATCCTTGCACATTGGGTAGAAATGGAAAAGGCTTCTATTTTATCGGGCTTCAATATAAGATATAACATAAAAATATACATAACATTGTAAAACAAGTAAAAAATACTCCCAAATGCTTAAATCCGTTTAACAGTATTGCGATAAACAAAAAATGCGCTGGAAGTTTTTTGAGCTCGAATTTGAACGAACAAAATTGGATAATCTGTCAAACAGCGAACTTGACATTCCATTAAAATCAATTTCACTTGGTGATTTTTCAAATAAAATCAAATGCACTATTCAGTTCTATATATAAATCACCTTAAATTTTCTTTCGAAATCCTAAGAGACAAGTCATTCTTATAAACAATCCTAAAATAACATTTGCTCATGGTAATACATCGGAAATTAAATGCTTACATACATGGTAAGATTGAGAAGGCAACACTTTGCAATCATATGTTTATTATTGCTCTGTTCCAGTACTTGCAAGAATCTACAAGTTTTCCAATTTTCTTCGATATCATAAAGGCAGAATCGGTTCTCGTAGTTCTGGAACATACCTTATTATCTACAATTATTCCTTTCCATCATGACAGAACAATCAATACTTGTGAACATTTATTTATTCAATTCATTCCGTAACACTAAAGTCATTGGTATGATATAAGACATTGATATGTCAAAAATATTTTTTAAAAAATCTGCGAAAATAATGTGTGTTTTACATATATTCTTAAATGAGCTTGTTAAGATATGTATTTTTCAAGTAATTTAACTTACTAACTTATTATTATTTAATATTTTTTCATTCAAATATATGATTTTAAAATTTTTTTGACAGTCCATTGTACCACCAGCTGTTTGATGTGGGGCTACTTCTATTATCATGGTATAAGAATACAGGTAGATGTATCAACACTCGCAGACATTAATATGTAAAAACTATTAAAATATATATCTGCTAAAATAAATGGATTTCAAAACGTTTTCTTATATGACGTCGTTCAAATGATTGTACGACAAGTGATTTTCAAAAAAAAAAAAAAAAAAAAAAAAAATCACTAATTAAAAAAATAAATTTTATTTACTTACTTTCTTAATTTTAATTTCTTAATTTTACCATGGCTATTCATAACTCCATTGTAAACATACAATTCAGAGGTGGGAACTTACTTTCTGTGCAGACAGTAAGGGGAAAAATCTCTTGGATTTCACATATGTAAACATGTTTTAACTAAGATAATTGCATGACAGAAGAATACAGGTAAATGCATCAACGCTTGGGGGCATTGATATGTCAAAAAAATTTAAATGTTTTTTCAAATATAAGTAGATTTTTATATGTTTTCTTATACGACGTCATTTGGAGGTTATTATAATTCGTGTTTTTCAACAATTTTTACAAATTTAAACAATTTTTCATTCAACATTTTCAATTCCAAAATTGGTTTGACAGTTCATTGTCCTAGCAGCTGTGTCGATGCGTCTACCTATATTATTCTACCATGGATAATTGTTTGTTTTTTTTAAGTTTCCTTGTAGGTGACAGGCGCCGTCTGGCTACCATTGACAGCTTTCTTTAAACCACCTTAGTTATTTTTTCCAAATGACAAGGTGATTTATTGAATAACACGTGAAAACTCAATAATGTGAACATTTTAATTTAAGTTCAGGGAACTCAGCAACATTTGTTTTTGTGATCTTTGGCGACTTTTGTTTACATTGAATTATTACCACAATTGTTTTTCCTTTTTTCGACTCATGCAACAGTGGAAATTTTCCTTTTCCCTCCGTTTGAATGGCGGTATGACTAATGGGCACAAATAATTTGATTGATTTGACATTGATTTGTGTAGAAAACATAATACAAAATTGTTTACAAACAAAATTGAATATTATTATTCGCTTTAATATGGGAAAAATACTCTCTCAAATAAATATATATGTGTGTGTGTCTAGGCATATTGGACAAAAGTAAAGATAAACAGAAAAGGTATATCCGCATTCCATTTTTTCTTTTTGGATTATTGAAGTTTTAAATTCATTATATTTGTAAAAACATGTGTGTAAACATAACTTGTTCGCTGTAATCAACATGGCAGAAGAATATAGGTAGATGTATCAACGATTGGGAGCATTGATATGTCAAAAAATGTAAATGTTTTTTTTTTTCAATTATAAGTAGATTTTTATATGTTTTCTTATACGACGTCATTTGGAGGTTATTATAATTCGAGTTTTTCCACAATTTTAAATACTTTTCAATTTCAAAATTAGTTTGACAGTTCATTGTCCCAGCAGCTGTGTCGATGCGTCCACCTATATTCTTCTACCATGGTAATCAATATGTATTTTATCATTTGTTTGCTGTCATTTTACTCTGACTTTACAAAGCTAAAGTGCATGATTTAATTGTCAAAATTCTTTTCTTTTATGTATTCTCACCTTTATTCGTGTTTTATTCCCATGATATAATTAAGAAGGTAAAATCATGCACTCATATGTTTTAAAAAATTTCCAACATTTTTTTTTCAAATAGCGTATACGTTATGGATATTTGAAATTTAATTTAAAAGTCTAAATGTGCTCCAAGTGTCATTTACGAAATCAATGTTTATGTGGTAGTAGAAAACACAACTCTGATTCAATTAAAAAAATAATCGGCTGGCTTCTTCGTAGAAGAACAAAGGAGTTTAGGTTGATTTAGTTCGATTTTTTCCGTAGAAGACAGCCAATGACTTAAGCCAGACAAAAGAGCCTTTTATGTATTCTCACCTTTATTCATTTTTTATTCCCATGATATAATTAAGAAGGAAAAGTCATGCAACCACATGTTTTAAAGTTTTTCAAACTTTTTTTCAAATAGCGTATACGCTATGGACATTTGAAATCGAGTGAATTTAGAAGTCTAAAGGTGCGCTAACTGTCATTTACGAAATCAATGTTTATGCGGTAGTAAAACACAACTCTGATTCAATACAATTTGTTTGGTATAAACGCCAGGTTAGGACACATATTTTAGTTATTATTAATATTTGTTTTTTTTTAATGTTTAATGTCTTAATAATATATCATTCAGAAAAAAAAAAAACAAATTGCTGATCATTATTCAGCTAATAAAGGCGATAATTGTTGCGTCAAAATTTTGAAAGATTTTTTGATTGCCAACAATGATTAATAGCCATAATTTATTATTGCCTACAACTATTTTTTGAAATTAATAAAACAATATGTTAGAGAATGTTTTTAATTATGTCATTAACAATGATTTTTAGTTTTGGAGAACTATAATAGATCATGGTAATGTGTTTCAATGTAGACGTAGGGCAATAGCAAGACAATTGGGGTGAGAATAGACATGATACAATAATCACAGGACAGAATTTGAAAAAAAAACACAACCTCAAATTTACTAATAGCAAGAGCAACACATTGTTTTGTGTTGTTGACACATTTCTCAAAATATTTAATTAAAAAAAAAATAAGAAAATAAATGGAAAGCCGCGGTTTTTCTACATTATCGAGATCCTGATACTATTAAAATGAAGTGATTGACATTAAAGATGCCGTTTAATCTGAACATAAAGGTGTAAGTACATAAGAAGCTATCACTTCAAGCTTATTTTGTGACATTTCATAAAGGGATTACAGAGCCGCACTAAAATCCTGGCGTCGTTTTCCATTATCATTTGACATTAATATGCCTAGCCATGACTTCAAGCTTTTTATGTACTTCAACTTTAAGGCCTAATAAGTACGTTACGCGTCCATGCTAAACATTTAAAAGCACTGACCATGTTAGCCTGCTTGACATTTGAGCGGTTATTTCTATCATTCATTCGTCATTTTTATTCTGCTTCGTTCCTCTGTTTTACTGTAAATGTAGTAAAAGAGCAAAATATGAAATGCTCTCTGAGAGAAATCCCTTACTCGCAAAACGCACAACATTGAGCAGTATATTTCCATTATCATTTCACCCATCTCCCTCTTGTAATATCCTAAACGACTGCAATACCACCAATAATATTTTCATTTGTTTATAGACTTTCTGTAAGGTTTCGCAACAATAAAATTTGTATTTTTATTAAAGCTGGCAAAGAAAAGAGTAAAAGAAAATGCTAAGTAATCGCACGCTTTATCATGTAATCAAACAAAATCGATCTATTTGTATTGATCATAAATTTACACTTTTATTACGTTTTATGTGGCATGCAGCAGCAATTCAATACATTTTTATCGACATACAGAAATACATATATATGTATGTACAAAAACACATGTATTGCTCGTACACAATACACAAACCTACTCCACTCAACGATGATGTCGAATATCCGAATGCGATTTCTGTTACACACACGGAAAATGTTCACAACAAAATCAATGATGTGCATACCAGTGCACAGTGGTCGCTGCCATTGGCCAAAATTAAAAAAATGAAAATCAGATATTTATTGTCAAATGTGTACACATGAACTCTTAAGAGGTTAAGCTTTTTAGAAAACATAATAATCTTGGCTTCATTCTAACGGGACACTTCGAAAATAGCATCAAAAAAGAGAAAATGTAGTTAGATGTTTTTTTTAGGGGATCAGTAAAAAAAAGAGTAAAAATAGATCTGTATTACAAAATTAAATACATTTTAAAATAACAATTCTTGGCATAATTATTGAAAAGCAAGGTATTGACTTATTTTTAGTGCAGTAATTTGTGTGTTTAGTAGTTGTGTATAATATAGACGATGTGAGTGTTCTGAGTGTCCTTTAAGATTAATTTTGAAAATAAAATTGGATTTCAGTTAAAGTTATAATTGTTTTCCCCCCTGAATCCTCCAATGTGATTTTTTTCACGCCATTAGTAATGGTCATAAGATTCTAGAAGTGCTAATTTAACTTTCAGATTTTGTCAGATTTGTATGTTATGCCCAATATACTGAAGTGACTTCGCTCCAATTTTGTCAGTTCTATGGTGCTAGTGACATAGGATATGTTTTTGTTGTTTGGGATTGATAAGGATATAATTGAGGGGTGTTCAATAATGTTGCCTGCATTGTCTTCTGGGTATAATATTAATGTCGAAAAATTTAAGGCCTCTGCACAGGAAACGGCTAAAGAGTTAACAAATAGATATCCATGGCACTATCTTCCACCCGCAGCTAATAAAATTTTAATACATGCACCCGACATTATAAATTTGTCATTGTATCGATTAGAGAATTATAAGAGGTGGCCGTGGAGTCTAGAAACAAAGATATAAAAAAGTTTCGACTAAATCATACCCGAAAAAATGCTCGTGTTTCAACAAACACAGATCTTATTAACCGTCTTCTTCTGAGCTCTGACCCTTTTATAACGGGTCAGCGAACGTTATCAATCAATAAAAAATCTATATTATTAAAATCTGCATTTGATTTACTTGAATAACACTGAAATTTATAAATATCCATTAGTAACTTTGATTTAATTTTATATTGAATTGTTTATTTTGTTTACAGAAAAATTGTCTATTTTGTTTACAAAAAAATAATCAAATTTGGAATTGATTTGTATAAAAATACCTCTACTTTTGGAGGTACCTTTACAGGGGGTCTCTACCTGAAGGCGGGTCGTTCCAAATAATTTTCAGTATGACTATTTTTTAGCTCTTTTGAACGTAAAATGTCAAATAACTGAACAATCTAGTGTAGAAATGTGATAAAAATTGGGCAAATAATCATTATTCGGGAGGTACGTTGTAAGGCGACCATGCCAAAACATGCATCGACCATATTCATTTTGTCACATTTTTTATTTTTATCCCATTAAGGTACCATAACCAAAGAATCATATTGATATCTGCACTGAAAGTATTTTTGGCCGCTGTTCCCATACGACCTCGACCACTGTGCAGTGGGATCAGCGTTTCGAAAGAGTGTTGTTACTGTTTCGGTTTTTTTTTTCGTACCAAAAAGTTGACCAAAAAATTAAAACACGCTTTGATACAATAAAAACGCACAGCCGATGGTACAGTGAACTGTCAAACCATTGTTGGAATACTACCATGTAGAACAATACTGGTAGACGCAATTTTAGTATTGGAATTTTAAATGAAAAATTATTTAAATTTGTATTTTTTAAATGCATTTCTTAACAACCTCTGATAGGAGTGGTATAAGAATACATTTAAAAATATACTTATTTTTGAAAAATCATTAAAGAAATTCTGACATTTCAATGTTCTGAGGCGTTAAATGCATCTACCTGTGTTCTTCTACCATGGTTGGAATTACAAATGTTGAATAAGGAATAATTTCATGATAAAATGAAGAAGGTAAAGTTATTTCAAACAAGCATTTCCATCTCTGCATTTTCTGTAATTTATCTTATTAAATTTCACAGAAAACCGTCTCCCATCTCCGATTTATGAGTATACAATGGATTTATAAATAATCATTTTGACAATGAGATGTTGTCAAATGAATAATTTAAAAAAATGTAAACATATGACTATATTTCGGGCATTTCATACATCTTTCGGGCTTTTTACTAATTTTTAAAAGTAAAATAAAACAAATTGTGCATAAAATTAGGCATATTTTTCAGAAGAAGCCGACATAGCCCCAGGGCTGTATTTCTGCAATTTTACGTAGCTTTTCTACCTCCCTATTTTACCATAATTATAATAATATATGTTAATAAATAAATGTGTGAATGACATATTTAGAATTCGATTTGGTTACAGGGTGAGATGAAAAAAACCGAAACCAATTTCAGACTGCTGTCATTTCTAAGCCACTCGTCCGACAGCTGTTTAAATTATTCCAGTGACAGCTCATTATATTGTTAACAAGCGTACAAACGCATTTTGGTGAGAATTTTCCAGAAAAAAAGTTATTCATGATTTTTCGAATTCAAGCGTGATTGTTTTTATATTTGGCTGGAAAACCACAAGTGCCTATCGTTAGAGAACTCCAGCATTTAAATCTAAATAAATCTTTTGTGTCTCGTACCATCGCTCGTTACCGTGATACTGGTAGCGTAGCCCAGCGTCAAGGAAGTGCACGGAAGAAGAAAACGGCAACATCAGCAGAAATGGTTCGAAAAGTAAAGAGACGACTTGATCGAAACCCACGTTGCAGGGGCAGAAAAATGGCTCGTGAGCTGAACATATCGCAATATTCCATTCGGCAAATATTGAAAAATGAGCTCGCGGTAAAGACATTGAAATTCAAAAAAGTGCAAGAACTTACACCGCAACAGAAAGAAAATTTGCTCAGAAGAACTAAAGACTTGCTTCGCTTGGCCGAATTTGGTTTTCTTCGACGAGAAAACATTCCTTGTCCATCAGTTTGTAAACAAACAACATGCACTTGTTTACTTGCCAAAGAGGTCAGCTGAAAATGTACACCTCCGGTTTGCCACCAGAACTCAAGCGCCAGTCATGGTTATGGTGTGGGCCGCCATAACAGCCGATGTTCGCTCTTCGCTCGTATTAATCGACCGTGGCATCAGAATAAATATTAATATTATGGCGAAAATATTCTGAAGGGTGTATTAAAGCCTTGGGTACGCAAACATTTTGGCCGCAGACCTTGGGCATTCCAACAGCACTCATCACCATAGCACTCAGCACGCGCCACCCAAGAATGGTTACAAAATGAGATTCCTCGTTTCATTTCCAGCGCACAATGGCCACTATAATCTCCGGATACCAATCCGTTGGACTATTGTGTCTGGAGTATATTGAAAAGCAAGGTTGGCACTAAAATATACCAAAGTGTCGATCACCTCAAGCAAGCGCTTCGCCAGGAATGGGCCAAGAAACCGCAGAGCAACATTCGGGCAGCGTGTGACGGTTTCATTGGCCGTTTGAAGGCAATGAGGTGACCAATTCGAACAAATCTAAACTTATTCTAAAATTTGATGCTATTTCCGACATTTTTTGCTTTCATTCAATAAAATTAAAAAAATGTAAAAATTATGGCGTTTGACTTTGTTGCAGTTTTTTTATCTTAGATTTTGAATGCTTTCTTTTATAAGCGATTTGAAATGTCAACAATTATTAGCCTTCACTGTCTTTGAAAAATGCCAGTCAGTGAGGTATGTGGCAGTTAAATACAACTCTGATTAAAGACAATTTGCCCTGTGTAAACACCAGTATAGGTTGCGGAAATATCATGGTAGAAAAATACAGGTAGACGCATCAATGCTTGGGAACTTTGTTGTGCCAAAAAATGTGTGTTTAAATGTGTTTTTAAATATAAGTAGATTTTTATATGTTTTATTATACGATGACATTCAGAGGTTATTATACTTCATGCTTTACAACAATTTTTACAAATTTAAAAAATTTTCATTCAACATTTTCAATTCCAAAATTGGTTTGACAGTTCATTGTCGTAGCAGCTGTGCCAATGCGACTACCTGTATTCTTCTACCATGGGAAATATTTTTGGTCTAAAAAATCCAAGAAGGGCAATCGATCTGGCAACATCATTTAATAATGTAAACCCAAAACAAAAAACACTAGGAAAATGACCGAATTGAAATGTCTTAAACATTTGTTTATCGACTTTAGTTAATTTATGATCAATAACAAAATATACACTCTCGTGTACACGAATACACACACACACTCACACACAACAATTGCAAGGGGAATTAATAGCGAATCACCTTCTTCCCATCCTCACAGGGTAGACAGGCAACAAGCAAACAGACAAACGATTTCTGAGGGGGCATTGTTTACTTGATCATTTATTCCGTTGACCGTTTGTCTGTCCACCCAAAATTGACTGGTTTTTCCGATGAAATGCGAGCAGTGCAGACGGTGATCTTGTGTTTTCGGAAATTCACGAGCATTTTTCCCAAAGAAAAAAAAAAACGATTTTCATTTAATCGGTTTAGTATGAAAAATACACTGTTAGTTGGAGCCTTTGCTCTATAACGCGACGGGAGACTCTTGAGACTACGGACAAAGTAGTGGAAGTGTGCGGTTAGTTCGATTAGTCTCCTCTTCGAATGTGCTGTAAAAAGTTGCGAAAATAACGGGAAAAAATCAAAAAAAAAAAAAAATAAATTGCGTAAAAATCATAGTTTTTGAAATAATTTGAAGATGTTGGATAAAAGAAAATTGTGAAAAAAAGAAAAAAATTAAAAAAATATATATATAAATTTCCCCTGCAGCTTAAATCTAAAAAAAAAAACAAAATATTATATTCTTACCATTTGAAAAAAATGCCCAGTGAAACCAAAGCGTCCCCACCTAAAGTCACACACCATGGCAGTGATTCTCCAACGCATTCAAAAACTCCCTCAATATCCTCGTCAACGGCAACGTCCACCACCAAACGCATGGACTCACTGGTCGATGATGAAATTATTCAAAAGAATTTAAAGGAATTAATGGATAAAAAGAATCGAGTAAGTGATCCAAGGTTAAGAAATGGGAAAATTAAGGGTAATACCAAAAGTGCGATGGCGAAGTAAACAAAAGGTGGAGGGAATTTAAAAGAATGCCTCAGCATGACTAATTACAGCATTCAAAGTAATCATGATCGATACAAAGTTTATCGGCCTTTAGAAGAACTTAAACCAGAAAACCATTTGCACTGTCCCATGGTAGAAGAATATATTTTTAAGGATTTTATTTTTTGAAAATTTCCAAATTCGTTGCAAATGGTGGAGGGTATTAAAAGTTAAGGGCTAAGTACATAAAAAGCTTGAAGTCATGGCTAGGCATATTAATGTCAAATTATAATGGAAAACGGCGCCAGGATTTTAGTTCGGCTCTGTAATCCCTTTGTGAAATGTCACAAAATATGCCTAGCCATGACTTCAAGCTTCTTATGTACTTAGCCCTTAACTTTTAATACCCTCCACCATTTGCAACGAATTTGGAAATTTTCAAAAAATAAAATCCATAAAAAATTCTGTTAAAATTTTAAAAATACCGAATATAGCCGTTATATTGGGGTCTATACGACGTGGACCTACATATGTATTGTTTGTCATAAGCCATTACCATATTCAAATTCGAAACATGAAATAAACGGTAGCTAAAATCATCAAAATATCGTATATAAGGAGGTGCCGTTAAATTGGAGCTGTGCGAAGACCTGGACCAGCATAGACAATTTTCTGTCACAGGCTGTAGCATCCTATACGAACTTCAAATACCACATCTCAAACAATTTCGGTGGGTTTTGTAACTAAAATCGTCAAAATACCGAATATAGGGAGGCACTGATATATGAGGCCTATACGAAGACCTGGACCCGCACCGACAATTTTCTGTCACAGACTGTAGTTCCCATAACGAACTTCAAATACCAAATTTGAAACAATTCCCGTGAATAATGTCGCTAAAATCATCAAAATACCCAATATCGGGAGGTTCCGTTGTATGGGGGGCTATACGAAGACGTGAACCTGCACAGATAATTTTCTGTCGTAGGCTGTAGTATCCAATTCGAACTTCAAATACCAAAGTTGAAACAATTCCGGTGAATAATGTCGCTAAAATCATTAAAATACCGAATATGGGGAGGTACCATTATATTAGGGCTATACGAAGACGTGGACCTGCAAACACAATTTTCTGTCTTAGGGTGTAGTATCCATTTGGAACTTCAAATACCAAATTTGAAACAATTCCCGTGAATAATGTCGCTAAAATCATCAAAATATCGAATATAGGGGGGTACCGTTATATGGGGGCTATATGAAAACGTGGACCTACATGGCCCATTTACGAACTTAACCTGCCTACTGGAAAAATAAACATGTGTGCAAAATTTTAGCCATCTATCTCAATTCATTCGAAAGATAGCGTGATTACAACAGACAGACAGGCGGACAAATAGACAGACGGGCATCGCTAAATCGACTTAGAATTTTACGCTGATCAAGAATATATATACTTTGTTGGGTCTGACATGAGTATTTCGAGGAGTTACAAACGGAATGACAAAGTTAATATACCCTCCATAGTATGGTGGAGGGTATAAAAATGTTGAATTAAAATTTATTTCAATTTGTAAAAGTTGTTGAAAACGCGAATTATAATAACCTCCGAATTACGTCGTATAAGAAAGCGTGTAAAAATCTACTTATATTTGAAAGAACATTTAAAATTTTTTGACATATCAATGTTCCCAAGCATTAATGCATTTACCCGTATTCTTCTATCATGCACTGTCCTTTCTAATTTTTCTTAATGGCAAAAATTGCAAAAAACGGAAGAGTGTAAACACGAATCTGCTTTTAGTGCCATACTAGTTTGTGGCGAGTAAAATGTTCCAAACATCAACTTTTGTTGCATGCAAAGGAACAGAGCTACAGTACAGGGAAGGAAAAAAAACTGCAACAAAGTCAAACGCCATAATTTTTACATTTTTTTTAATGTCGGAAATAGTATCAAATTTTAGAATTAGAATACACTCGTTTACACGCGCCACAAAATATTGGGCGCCACCAAGACAGCGAATCATCTTTACCGATCATCCAAGCATGGATTAAGTGAAGTGAAATTTGTGAATAAATATATAACATACAGGGTGAGATAAAAAAAAATTGCAACAAAATCAAATCAAATCACGAGAGTGTATATTTTGTTATTGATCATAAATTAACTAAAGTCGATAAACAAATGTTTAAGACATTTCAATTCGGTCATTTTCCTAGTGTTTTTTTTTTTTTTTTGGTTTACATTATTAAATGATGTTGCCAGATCGTTTGCCCTTCTTGGATTTTTTAGACCAAAATTATTTCCGCAACCTAAACTGCTGTTTACACAGGGCAAATTGTCTTTAATCAGAGTTGCATTTAACAGCCACATAATTTTTAAAACGCCATAATTTTTATATATTTTTTTTAATTTTTTTGAATGAAAGCAAAAAATGTCGAAAATAGCATCAAATTTTAGAATAAGTTTAGATTTGTTCGAATTGGTCAGCTTTGGCACGAATTATGAACTTCAAACGGCCAATGAAACCGTCACCGAATATTGCTCTGCGGTTTTTTGCCCCATTCCCAGCGAAGCGCTGGCTTGAGGTGATCGACACTTTGGTATTTTTTAGTACCAACCTTGCTTTCCAAAATACTCCAGACACAATAATACAACGGATTGGTATACGGAGATTTTGGTGGCCATTGTGCGCTGGAAATGAAGCGAGGAACCTCATTTTGTAACCATTCTTGGGTGGCGCATGCTGAGTGCGATGGTGCTGAGTCCAAGGTCTGCGGCCAAAATGTTTGCGTGCCAAGGCTTTAATACACCCTCCTCCCCCCTCGATTAATACGAGCGGAGAGCGACCATCGGCTGTTATGGCGGCCCACACCATCACCATGGCCGGCGCTTGAGTTGTGGTGGGCAACCGAAGTTGCACATTGTCAGCTGACCCCTTTGGCAAGTAAACTCGATCATTTTGTTTGTCTACAAACTGCTGAACAACAAAAGTTTTCTCATCGGAGAAAATCATATTCGGCATTTCACCACTTTCGGCCATGCAAAGCAACTCTTTAGCTGTTTTGAGTCTCTTTTCTCTCTGTTGCGGTGTAAGCTCTTGCACTTTTTCGAATTTCAATGGCTTTACCCCGAGCTCATTTTTAAATATTTGCCGAATGGAATATTGCGATATGTTCAGCTTAGGAGTCATTTTTCGGCCACTGTGACGCAGGTTTCGATCAAGTCGCTTCTTTAGTTTTCGAACCATTTCTGCTAATGTTGCTGTTTCCTTCCGTCCACTTCCTTGATGTTGGGCTACGCTACTAGTATCACGGTAACGAGCGATGGTACGAGACACAAAAGAGTTATTCACATTTAAATGCTGGAGTGCTCTAACGATAGCCACTTGTGGCTTTCCAGCTAAATATAAAGAAATCACACCATCACGCTTGAATTTGAATAATTATGAATAACTTTTTTCTGAAAAATTCTCACCAAAATGCTTTTGTACGCTTGTAAAAAATACAATCAGCTGTCACTGGAACAATTTTAACAGCTGTCAGGCCAGTGGCTTGGAAATGACAGCAGTCTAAAGTTGGTTGCGGTTTTTTCATCTTACCCTGTACATGAAATAAGTATTTCGTATAGAGCTAATTGTTTGTAACAGATATTTATAAAGAAGTGATTTAAAATTAAATGTGTGAATCTAAAGAAGAAATTATGGAAAAAGTTATTGAGGTGTTAAATATTGCATTATTAACTTTTATTTTAACTTTCTTTTTTTACTTTTTAATACTTCCAATTAATTTCCATATAATTCACTATACAATTAAATCACTAAAAACATCACATCACAATAAAAGAAACGCATCAAAAATTACAATAAAGAAAATGTCAAAATCATAAAAAATTCGGAAGAAGCAAAAAGAGAAATGCAAAGAAAATGGCATGTAACCCTGTGCGGTGGCTTATCGTGCCATTTTTTTGTTCTATCCTTGTCTCTCTACACCTTTTACCAACAAAAAAAAAATGGCATGGTTAAAAAATGTCACCGTGTAAAGGCAGTGTAAGGCAGCGTGCAAATTTTTGGAAAGGTCTATGGAATAAAATTTTAAAACCAAAATTTTCTGTTTTTCAAATTTTTATTTGTTATTCGTTTCTGTAATTGCGGCTTTTATATTAACACGTCTCTGACATGAGCTGTTACTCTATGTATTGTAGACACAAACCATTTGCTCAAAATGCATTTTAACCATTTTAGGTCTTTGACAGGTGCTGGGACAAAGTTGGACAAAGAACTGTAAAACCAAATTTGAAATTGAAAATTTTGAATGAAAATTTATTTAAATTCGTTAAAATTGCATATCATAACAACCTCCGATTGGCGTCGTATAAGAAAACATATTAAAATCTACTTATCTTAAAAATTTACAAAACATATTAAAATGGTTGACACATCAATTCTCCCAGCTTTGATGCATCTACCTGTATTCTTCTACCAAGGGTTTACTGAAGCCCTGAACTAAAGATTGGGCTTTTATACCCTCCACCATAACTTTGTCATTCCGTTTGTAATTCCTCGAAATACTCATGTCAGACCCAACAAAGTATATATATTCTTGATCAGCGTAAAATTCTAAGTCGATTGTCTGTCTGTTGTAATCACGCTATCTTTCGAACGAATTGAGATAGAAGGCTAAAATTTTGCACCCATGTTTATTTTTCCAGTAGGCAGGTTAAGTTCGTTAATGGTTAAGTTCGTTATAGCCCCCATATATAAGTATCTCCCGATATTCGGTATTTTGATGATTTTAGCGACATTATTCATCGGAATTGTTTCAACTTTGGTATTTGAAGTACGAAATGGAAACTACAGCCTATGACATAAAATTATCTGGGCAGGTCCACGTCTTCGTATAGCCCCCATATAACGGTACCTCCCGATATTCGGTATTTTGATGATTTAAGCGACATT